AAATTAGGAAGGGTCTTTTGACATACATATACACACAGAAAACCATGACTACAAACATTGTAAAGCAAATATATTTCAACACACACACACACAAACTCAAACAGATAAAGAAAAATGAAGTTGTAAGTTTTCCTCAAAATTATAAAAAAAAATCATCACTACAATCAAAGTAGCAAATATAGTCATCACTCACAAAAGATTATGCCTGGTCTTTTGTGATCCCTGCCTCTTGTTCTTCCTTGCTCTATTTACCCCCACTCTCATGCTCCTCTACCCTAGGGAATCACTCATCTGCTTTTTGCTCTTATAGTTTTCATTTTCTAAAATTTTATATACTCTAATCACACAATAGGTACTCCTTTTTGGCTAACTTCTTTCACTCACCTTAATCATTTGGAGATTCACCTACATTCTAACATGTATCAATGGTTCCTTCTTTTTATTCCCAAGTAGCATACTATTATTTGGTTTTACCACCATTTATTCACCCATTCATCCATTGTTAGAACTTTAGGCTGTAGATTAGCTTCCTGGACCTGATTCCAATATATATGTGGGTGGCAGCTTTTCCAAACCAGCAAGCAATTCTTGGATATCAGCAGAGTGTCCAATAATTCAACTCAATTCTAACAATGTCTACCCAGAAATAGAATCAGATTCCACAAGCAAAGGGCTCAGTCCCACAAGGCTGCCTTCCACTTAAAATGCCAGCCCCAAGTCCAAGTGTTACCCAAGCTTCTGACCTACCTATTTCCTATAAGTCAGAGTTTCCCATAACCCCATTCTCGGGTTCAACTACTTTACCTAAAGGGCTCACAGAACTCAGGAGAATCCATTTACTCACTAGACTACTGCTTTAATACAAACAATATGTAATGTCAGAAGAAGAGATACATAGGATGAAGTCCTAACAAAAGGACTTTCTGTCCATATGAAGCTTGGAGCCAGAATGATAGCATATAAAAATGTTCTGGTTCTCCCCCAAGTGGAAGTTTTCTGAACTCCTCCTTTTTTGTTTTTGGAGGCATGATTGACTAATTCACTTGGTGATTGATTCAACCTCTGTTCCCCTCTCCCCTCCTTGAAAATCAAGGAATGAGACTGTAAGTTTTGATCCTCTATTCACAGTTGGTTCTCCTGGCAACTAGGCTCTATCCTTGGGTGCTTTGCAAAGTTCACCTTCATAAAAAATACATGCCCTTCCATGATCTTAGCAGTACTATTTATGATAGTCAGGACATGGAAGCAACCTAAATGTCCATCAACAGATGAATGGATAAGGAAGATGTGGCACATGAATACAATGGAATATTACTCAGCCATAAAAAAGAATGAAATAATGCCATTTGTGACAACTTGAATGGACCTCAGTTCAGTTCAGTAACTCAGTCATGTCCGACTCTTTGTGACCCCATGGACTACAGCATGCTAGGCTTCCCTGTCCATCACCAACTCCTGGAACTTGCTCAAACTCATGTCCATCTCCAACTATCTCATCCTCTGTTGTCCCCTTCTCCTCCTACCTTTAATCTTTCCCAGCATCAAGGTCTCTTCCAATGAGTCAGTTCTTTGCATCAGGTGGCCAAAGTATTGGAGTTTCAGCTTCAGCATCAGTCTTTCCAGTGAATATTCAGTACTGATTTCCTTGAGGATAGACTGGTTTGATCTCCATGCAGCCCAAGGGACTCTCAAGAGTCTTCTTCAACACTACAGTTCAAAAGCATCAATTCTTCAGCACTCCACTTTCTTTATAGTCCAATTCTCATATCCATACATGACCACTGAAAAACCATAGCTTTGACTAGACAGACCTTTGTTGGTAAAGTAATGTCTCTGCTTTTTCATATGCTGTCTAGATTGATCATAGCTTTTCTTTTAAAGAGAAGTGTCTTTTAATTTCATGGATACAGTCACCATNTAGCATGTGAGATGAGTGCAATTGTGCGATAGTCTGAACATTCTTTGGAAAGTTTGTTTTCTATGTCTATGAATCTGTTTCTCCTTTGGAAATAAGTTAGTTTATATCATTTTTAAAAAATATTTCATGTAAGAGTGATATCTAGGTTATTTGTCTTTCTCTGTCTTACTTATTTCACTTAATATGATACAGTCAGGGAAATGAGAGAGGTAAATCAGTAGTTTGGGATTAACATATATACACTACTATATATAGAATAGGTAAACAACAGGAACTTACTGTTAGCATAAGGAACTCTACTCAATATCTTATAATAATGGAAAAGAAACTGAAAGAAAAAATATATATCATAACTGAATCAGTTTGCTGTACATGTAAAACTAAAACAATGTTGTAAATTAACTATATGTCAATAAAAAATAAGTCACCTTCATTAATATTAACCCAGTTGTGGCAGTAAGGGCTTGTTATGAATAACAAGATACCTTTATGTTTCTGAATTATTTTCAGGAATTGAGGATGAGAGACCAAATATTATATATCAAAAAATGTTTTGATTGTTCTTAGTACTCAGTGAATTCCCAAGAGTTTTGGGAGCTGTGAGTCAGAAACTATGGATGAAGACCAAATGTTTCTGAGAAATATATTTTAGTTATCATAATATGTTTCTTATAAATCACAATATCACAGGTTTTTCCAGTTTGTGGCTATCAAATCCCAAAGAACAGCACTAAATGCTGTGGAAATTCAAAGATTTTCAGCTGGATTGATAAAGGAGGTAACATTCCAATGGACACATTCAAATTAGTGTAGTCCTTTTGGGCAGCTAACCCTTGATTATGAGGCCTAAGCATGGATTCCATTTACCAAATACTGGTTGTATATCAGTCTCTGTGATAAGGTGATTTAATCTTCACTTCTACCCTGTGAGGTATAAGTATTATCCCATTTTACATAGGAATAAATTGTGACTAGAAATGTTAAGCAGGTTTCCAAATCTCACATATCTGTTTGGTGGTCTATGTGAGAGTTGAAATCAAATTTGACTTCAAAGTCTGTGTAGTGAAGCATCACACTTTTTTAAAATTAATTTTTATTGGCATATAGTTACTTTAAAATGTTGTATTAGTTTCTACTGTACAGCAAGATGAATGAGCTATACATGTATATATATATATCTGTATATATAGCCTCTATTTTTTGGATTTCCTTCCCATTTAGGTCAAAACAAGGCTCTGAGTAGAGTTATCCGAGGTATACAGTAGGTTCTCCTTAGTTGTCTATTTTTTACATAGTATTAATAGTGTATATATATATATATATAAAATAAATTTTAAAAAAAGTAAAAAAATAATGTATATATGTTAATCCCAATCTCCCAATTCATCCCACCCTCACCTTTCCCCTCTTGGTGTTCATATGTTTGCCCCCTATATCTGTGTCTCTATTTCTGCTTTGCAAATAAGATCATCTATACCATTTTTCTAGATTCTACATATATGCATTAGTATATGATATTTGTTTTTCTCTTTGTGACTTACTTCATTCTGTTTGACAGTTTCTAGGTCCATCCATGTCTCTACAAATGACCCGGTTTTATTCCTTTTTGTGGCTGAGTAATATTCTGTTGTATATATGTACTACAACTGTTTTATTCATTCCTCTGTTGATGGACATTTAGGTTGCTACCATGTTCTGACTATTGTAACACTGTGGCAGTGAACATTGGGGTGCATGTGTCTTTTGGAATTATGATTTTTTCTGAGTATATGCCAGTAGTGGGATTGCTGGGTTATATAGAAGTTCTATTTTAGTTTTTAAAGGAATCTGCGTACTCCCTAACACCACACACAAAAATAAGCACAAAATAGATTAAAGGCTTGAATATAAGACAAAAAGTGAAAGCTGCTCAGTCTTGTCCAACTCTTTGTGACCCCATGGACTGTAGTCCATGAAATTCTCCAGGCCAGAATACTGGGGTGGGTAGCCATTCCCTTCTCCAGGGGATCTTCCCAACCCAGGGATCCAATCCAGGTCTGCTGCATTGCAGGCTGATTCTTTACCAGCTGAGCCCCAAAGGAAGCCCTGGATGTAAGACCAGATACTATAAAACCCTTAGGCTTATTTACAGCCTAAATGAACTATCCCTTAAGATCATGTGATTTCTGGGCATCTTGACACTGCAAGGATAGTATGATGGATTATAAAAGCAATCCGTGAACTAGAAAAGGCATAGTTATATTGGGAGAAAAACAATAAATTGACATTCTGCTTTATATATCAGTCTTATGTGCAGTTTTTAAATATGAGTCCCTCTATATAACCTCATTAATTCTGAAAGGAAATTAAAAATTGTGTATCTGGATCTCTAGAATAGAAGACCAGAGTTTGAATATTGATGTCCTCTACTGAAAAATGAAATTATATTTTAAAAAAATTCAAACTCTCATTGCTAATATCTTTTCGTGTCTTCACTGGATATTTGTTGGTCAGTTTTATCTCTGCTGTAAGACTGACATTCTCTGGAAGATAGTTATTGCTTAGTAATGGTTGTATCTCCCACAGCACCTAGAACAGAAAGCACCATATGTGTTTCTTTGGTAAAAGAATGACTAAGACATAGGTATGCTCCCTCCACTTTCATGTAGAGAAGTTCATAGACCAAATGTAGAGTGTATATGCATCTCAGGGTATTTAAGAAACTGGTGGATAAAGTCACTGACCTTCCCAGATGATTGACCAGATTATCCCAGATCCCCCAGATGCCTGCTTTGGGTCACTGTAATTCACCCTCCTCTAAGAATGGCTTTACTACTTACTTCTAGAGTGCTTAATTCAATGTTAAGCACCCTGGCTTGCTGAACTGAAGCAAAAATGAGTGTCCAAGATGAGATAATTGGTACCTCAATTCAGGGAGTTAAAGAGCAAGAAATCTGGGGAAACTTTCCAGAGAAGATTCACAGCTCAAGCTCACAGTGATGCTGGAGACCCTTGAACCCTGGACATTTGTGTCCTCTGATCTCTGGGGCCACTTTGCAGAGTCAGGTCACTCACTTCCTCTCTTCTTCCTTCTACTTTTTAGGGCAAGAATATCTCAAGCATGGGCATGAGTAGCTTGAAATTGCTGAAGTATGTCCTGTTTTTCTTCAATTTGATCTTTTGGGTAAGTGTGTCTCTTCTGAGCACGGTTAAGCTCACTTCTTCCTAGCTACTCTACTTCTCTCTCCTCTCCTGAAGAGCCTGGTGTGGAGTGGAATTCATGCATGCAAAGGTCATGTGCAGAACACCCAGCCTAAGAAGAAGGGAATGATAATTTTCTCCCCTCTTCCCATCCTGCCATAAGAAAAGCCTGTATCCAGCCTGGGCTGGTGATCTGTTTCACCCTAGATAATATACATGTTTCAATGCTGTTCTCTTGAAACATCCCACCCTCTCCTCCCCCACAGTCCAAAATTCTGTTCTGTACATCTGCGTCTCTTTTTCTGTTTTGCATATAGGGTTATCATTACCATCCTTCTAAATTCCATATATATGTGTTAGTATACTGTATTGATCTTTATCTTTCTGGCTTACTTCACTCTATATAATGGGCTCCAGTTTCATCCAATGAGACAAGTGCTTGGGCTTGGTGCACTGGGAAGACCCAGAGGAAACAGGTGGAGAGGGAGGTGGGAGGGGGGATCGGGATGGGGAATACATGTAAATCCATGGCTGATTCATGTCAATGTATGACAAAAACCACTACAATATAGTAAAGTAATTAGCCTCCAACTAATAAAAATAAATGGAATAAAAAGAAAAAAAAGAAAAGCCTGCAAAATTGAAAGACACCAGTGCGGTTGGTGATGCTGTTTCTCTGGGTGCTTTAGACTATTACGGCTCACTGCTGACATCTATGGGTGAGAAACCTAAGATTCTACACTCCCTGTATTGAATGCCTCTTTTTTTCTTGCTCCTCTGACCTCAACCCTGAATCCTTGGAAAAAATAGCTGATTTGAAAGGAAATCCCCTTTTCTGGGGAGGTTTCACTATATTAAGGCTTCCCTGGTGACGCAGACAGTAAAGAATCTGCCTGCAATGCTGGAGGCCAGGGTTCAATCCCTGTGTCCTGAAGATCCCCTGGAGAAGGGAATGACAATCCATTCCAGTATTCTTGTCTGGAGAATTCTGTGGATAGATAGAGGAGCCTGGGGGGAGGTGGGGGTTGGTGTATAACCCATGGGGTCACAAAGAGCTGGACACGACTGAGAGACTAACACTTTCACTTTCACTATATCAGATTTAGCAATTGAATTTTAGACATAGGATGAGTTGTTACTCATGTTTCTATGAGAAGATTCTTAAAAGTTTGGCTTCTCTAGTTTTCTGCTAAGAAAGATGAACTTCTCAACCAGTGCATTCTCTTTACAAAGGGAAGACCACATATAAGCAGTTGAGCCAGTAAGGAGTAGGGATCTGAATCATGAAGATTTAAAAAAAGGAGTAGGAATCTGAATCATGAAGATACTGTGTTACCCATAGGAATGACCATTTTGATATCTGATATGGATAGGATGTGGTATGTGTGGGACATCACAGGAGATGCCTTTTTTTTAGGCACTTGGAGAAATCTGGGTAAAGAGTTTATTGGCTAGAGTCAACGGGAAAAATGATTCTAGTGTCAGGTAAGTGGGTATGAGGAGATATTTAAGAACCACCTTGCATTTCAGAATGTTATGTGATTCTTCTTTTCAGTTCTGTGGCTGTTGCATTTTGGGCTTTGGGATCTACCTCCTGATCCACAGCAAGTTTGGAGTACTCTTCCATAACCTCCCCTCTCTCACGCTGGGCAATGTGCTTGTTATTGTGGGTTCCATCATCATGGTGGTTGCCTTCCTGGGATGCATGGGATCCATCAAGGAGAATAAATGCCTGCTTATGTCGGTGAGTGACTCTCACAGCCGATGTGCCTAAGTGGGGGAGGTGGGCATGATGTCTTAAACCACAGGCAAGACGTTTACTGGTAGCTCATCTATTAGTGCAAATAAATTGTTGGACCATGAAGTTGGCACCTCAGCTCATTCCAGTCTGTCTAGGCCCAGAGAGGGATAAATAAGAAAAGATATCACTGTCCTCCTTAGTATCCACTTTACACTGTTAATGATGACCCTTGTCATTATAATTTGCATTCATAGCTTTTTATTTATTCTTTATGTATGGTTGAAATGAAGAGTCATCCATCTACCTAAATCTTCCTCACATTAGTATATATTTCCAGGATCTGACTTAAAGTCATTAACTGCTGGAAAATCTAGTCTCCAGATTCTTCTGAGTATTGTGACCCTTCTAAGATGGCAGAGGATACATATGTATCTCAAATCTGTACTAGCTACACCACAGTGTGAGTGACCCAGCTGGGTGAGAGCCTATGCTGAGGCCACTGAGGTCTAACGTGAGAGATGCTAGAGCTTTTCACTTTCTTCCTGTCAGCTAACTAGCTTCAGGAGCACCTTTAGATTTAGGCTTTGCCTATAAGCTCTATGAAAGAAGAGTTTCTCATTTCTCTGGTGTGCCCACGCAGAGCTCGATAATAAGGCACCACTCTATCCATAGATATAGGTTCCCAATCACTTTTCTTCTTCCTCAAGTCATGTGGTTAATCTTCTTTCCTTTATGTGTTAAACTGGAGCCAAAAGATAGAATAAGAAAGTCCTTGTTCTCAGACAGTCCCCAGACTATTAGCGAAAGATGGAAGATAATAGACCTGGGGAAAAGGTTTTGAGTAATCAGAGTTTGTCTTGGGGTAAAACAATGAAAGAAAATGAAAAAGTGAAAATGTGTTTGCTGTTAAGTATCATTAGCACAAACATCTGAAATTGGAGATAAATATGAGTGAAGATCATGATTAGAGCACCTCTTCTCCCTGTCTGTACAGGGCTCCTCTCAACCTCTATTATCACCTTCCTCCACCCTATAATAGCCTTCTGCTCACGGAAAGAACCAGGCCCCAAACTCTGAAGACACATAATTTAGTTTACTAGTCTTTTGCTCAACTGTTTCAGCTAGCTAATGCCAAAACTGCCCAGTGATTCAACAAATGGTAATCCATATTCATTATGCACCTGGAACTCAATAAATACAATGGGAAGAAGAGAGAAAAGCTGGAAGACAGCTGATCTGCCCTCTAGAGTCTTGAAGTCTGATGGTAGGAAAAGAACAGATATTCTTCACAAACATGAAAAAGCCTATGAAGGCTTGAGTAGGTGGGAACTCCTGCCCATGTATAGAGATCTGCCTTTATGCTGCCAGGGTAGAGTGGGAGTGGGGGAATAGCTGGTCTCATTGTTGTGAGCATCTCTTTGCTTTGCCCCAGTTCTTTGTCCTGCTGCTGATTATCCTCCTTGCTGAGGTGATCTTGGCCATCCTGCTCTTCATGTATGAACAGAAGGTAAGTTACAGAAAACACAATTCATTGTTGGATTGCTAAGAGTGGGGGGGGGTGGAATGTGGGGAAGAGAAGTTGGCACAAGTAAGTCCTATGATAGATCTAGAGTCAAAGTGGCAGGATGAAAGAAAAAGAGAGTGACTGTAATTGGGGAGAATAAAAATTATGAAGGTGATCATATTTGAGTGGTGCTTTGAAGGATGAATGGGAAGAACAGTAAAAATCAGGTTTATCTTCCCCTCCTTGCCTACTTACTTTTCTCCATCTGTCTGGCAGTAAAGAATCTGTCTCAGTGCCTAAGAGAATCCATGTTTGATTAGACCCTTTGCATCCTTTGTAAACCCAGGGTTTTGGAAGGTCAAGAAAATGCTGTGTGTTTCTTCCTTCATTGCCATCCCATCCTCAGCATTTCTTCCTATATATAAGCTCCCTCCCCTGACTTAGTTCTGAAGAGATCATTTGGAAGGGAGGAACAAATGGAACTATTTTATTAGCCTGCATTAGAAATTCCCTGTTCCTTAAACTCATCTGCTTTGTACAATGACTCCTCTGCTGGAATGTGCCCCATACAGCTGAAAGGATACGTGGCTGAGGGTTTGACCAAGAGCATCCAGCGATACAACTCAGACAACAGCACCAAGGCAGCGTGGGACTCCATCCAGTCATTTGTGAGTACAAAATTCTTCTTAGCTCAGCCCAGATGTAATTTTCCAGCCTCAGTCCCTGGGTACTGGAAGGTCTCTCTTTCATGAAAGCTTCAGAATCTAAGGTCCACAGCCCCTAGGTTCAGAATAATGCTTGGCTGTCAGAAACAGGAGAGCATGAGAATCAGCTTGGTTGGTACAAAGTTGTATATTAATACATTCTCTCTTTTACCCTTTACCCACTCAGGCTTATTGTTTCAGCCCTACTAAGATGTAAGAAAGACCCAAACATGTCATACTGGATTAGTTTATGTATTTTCCAATTTTTTTCTGAAAATAGAAATTGTTTAATATAGGAAATCTCTTTTGAATTCCTGAGTTGCCCAACTCATTCTTGTTACCTAGCTCACCAGAACCCCATTTCTCATGCCCCTCCCCACCACAAACATATATTTTAATTCAGCATTCCTTTCTGGGTATGCTGAGGTCAGGAAGCCAGTCTGACAATGGCATGGTTTGTATCTCAGACAATACCATTATGACCACATGGAGCCACCTGTGGCCCTGCCATGCCTTCTTAGTGTGGGGTAAAAGAAATAGCACAAGAATTAAAGTCCAGAGACCAGGATTGGGTAGCTTTGGGAAAGTCACTTAACTTTCTGGATCCCTATTCTTCTTTCTTTTAAAAATCCAGCCATAAACCTTTTATTATAGAATTCTTTTATGATATAAAAGAAAAGCAAATAATAGCAAAATGAATCTGTGGGTACATATCATCCAGCTTCAACAGTTAACATTTTGCCAATATTGTTTTAGCTAATCCTCTATGTGTTTTTTGATAGAACTTTTTAAAGCAAATAATATATATTATATTATTTCAGAACTAAATATAAAGATAATAACTTTGTTTTAAAAAAGAATTTTTTTGTAATGATGTAAAGTAATTAGCCTCCAACCAATTAAAAAAAAAAAAAAGAATTTTTTAAGAACAGTCTTGTTGTTGTTCAGTTGCTCAGTCCTGTCCTACTCTTTGCAACCCCATGGACTGCAGCATGACAGGCCTCCCTGTCCTTCAACATCTCCTGGAGTCTGCTTAAACTCATGTCCATTGTCCAAGAGCAGTCTTAGGTTTACAACAAATCTGAAAGGGAGGTACAGAGATACCCCATATACTCCCACACTTGCATAGTCTCCCCCATTATCCACATCACTCACCAGAATGGTACTTTTTTAAAGTAAAGGCTGAGCCTACATTGACACATAATTATCACCCAAGGTCCATAGTTTACATTAGGGTTCACTCTTGGTGTTACACATGCTATGCATTTGATGAAATTTATAACAACATATATGCATCATTGTAATATCATGCAGAGTAGCTTTGCCCTCCTAAAATCTCTCTGCATTCCCTCTTCCTCCCACCCTCATCCTTCACAGCCACTGATCTTTTTATTTTTCAATAGTTTTGCCTTTTTCAGAATGTCATATAGTTAAAGTCATACTGTTTATAAGCTTTTCAAATTGGCTTCTTCCACTTACTAGTATGTATTTAAGATTCCTCCTTGTCTTTTCATGATTTGATAGCTCAATTCTTTTTAGTGTTAATATTCCATAGTCTGGATATACCATAGCTTGCTTACTCATTCACTTATTGAAGGACATCTTGATTGCTTCCAAGTTTTGGCAACTAAGAATAAAGCTTCCATAATCATTAATGAGCAGCATTTTTGCTTGTGGACATAAGTTTTATACTTCTTTGGATAAATACCAATGTGTAATTGATGAATCATTTAGTAAAAGTATGCATTATTCGTAAGAAACCTCCAAATAGTCTTCTGAAGAATCTGTACCACTTCTCATTCCCACCAGCAATGTATGAAATTGCTCCACATCCTCACCAGTATTTAGTGTCAGTGTTCCAGATTTTGACCATCCTCATAAGTGTGTACTGGTAGCTCATTACTTTAATTTTCATTTCCTTGATAACATATAATGTAGATTTTCATATGTTTATTTTCCATTTCTATATCTTCTTTGGTGAGGTGTCTGTTAAGTTTGTTGGTTCATTTTTTAATCAGGTTAGTTGTTATCTTATTGCTCTGTTTTAAGAGGTTTCTCTCTCTCTTTTATATATAGATTTTTAGGTAACAGTCATTTATCAGATTGTGTCTTTTGCAAATATTTTCTCCAAGTCTGTGGCTTGTCTTCTATTTTTCCAGACACTGTCTCTTGCAGAACAAAAGTTTTTAATTTTAGCCAAGTCCAACTTATCCATTATTTCTTCCATTATTTCATTATTTATTTCATTATTTCATCATGCTTTTGGTGTGGTTTCTAAAAAGATATCATCATAACCAAGGTCATGTAGGTTTTCTCTCATATTATCTTCTAAGATTTTTGTAGTGTTGTATTTTACTTTTAGATCTATAATCTGTTTTGAGTTAACTTCTGTGAATGGTGTAGGTTCTCTGTCTAGCTGTTGGTTTGTTTATTTTTGTTTGTTTGTTTTTGTGTTTTTGTTTTTGGTATATGAATGTCTAATTTTCCCAACACCATTTGTTGAGCTATCTTTTTTGCCTTGTATTGCTCCTTTGTCAAAGATCAGTTGACTACATTTATGCAGGCCTGCTTCTGGGCTCTCTATATCTATTTGTCTGTTCTTTCACCAATACCATACTATCTTGATTGCTGCAGCTTTGTAGGAAGTCTTGAAGTTGGGTAGTATCAGTCCTCCAACTTTGTTCTTTTCCTTCAGTATTGTGTTGACAATTATGGGTCTTTTGCCTCTCTATGCTACAGCTGCTGCTGCTAAGTCGCTTCAGTCGTGTCCGACTCTGTGCGACCCCATAGACGGCAGCCCACCAGGCTCCTCTGTCCCTGGGATTCTCCAGGCAAGAATACTGGAGTGGGTTGCCATTTCCTTCTCCAATGCATGCATGCATGCTACGTTGCTTCAGTCATGTCCGACTCTATGCGACCCTATGGACAGCAGCCCTCCAGGCTCCTCTGTCCACAGAATTTTCCAGGCAAGAATACTGGAGCAGGTTGCCATTTCCTTCTCTATATAAACTTTCAAATCAGCTGGTTGATATCCATTAAATAACTGGCTGAGATTTTGATTGGGTTGCATTGAATCTATAAATCTAGTTGAGAAGAACTGGTACCTTAATAACATTGAGTCTTACTATCCATGGAAATGGCATACTTCCCCATTTACTTGATTTTGTTCATCAGAGTTTTATAGTTTTCCTATTATATAGGATAGGAAAGAGCTTGCACTTATTTTGTTAGGTTTATACCTAAGTATTTCATTTTGGGGAATGCTAATGTAAATGGCATTGCATTTTTAATTTCAAATTCTATTTATTCTTTACTGTAATATATGAAAGCAACTGATGTTGGTTATCAACCTTATGTTCTGCAACCTGGGCATAATCTGAGCTGTCTTTGATGTGCTGCTTTGCAGGTACCTGCAGTTGTTTGCCTCTTTCTGCTCAGAAGCAGCCTTGGGTGCAAATCCCCCTTTCCCTCACTGCCAATCACTGCCCCCAGCCTCTGCCTCCCCTGCCCTGTTGTGGAGTCACACCTCAGGGCAGGAGGTCCACATGGACTCTCAGGGTACACACCTGAGAGTGTGGGGTGGTGGTAAGTTGTGGTGAAGCAGCCTCTATCAGAGATCTAGGATGTTTCTGCTGTGCTGCTTGAGTAAGCACCAACAATGGCAGCTGCTGCCCCACCAATACTGGGCCACCTCTGTATTCTAAGGTTTGAATCATTTCTTTGGTCATGGCCACCCCAGATCCCTTGCTGCACTGTGACATGGAATGAGTGGGGAAAGAGCATTTGCTCGACTTGGGCTGGGGCATTCCCATAGGTAGTTCCACTAAAGCAGACCTCTTTCCACCTTGCCTTAGAGGAAAGCCAGCATGCACGTGCTCCTCATGGTGGAGTCCAGGCTTCTACAGCTCTCCTGTTAATCCAAACAGTCCTTCAATCAACAAAGGGATCTTGTCTCCCCAGAGTAGGACCCCAGGACTGGGGCTCCAGATTTGTGGCTCTCAACTGCTCACTCCCCAGGGTGGGTGGTGTCCCACCCATGTACACTCCTTATTGCTCTGAGTCGCCTGCCAGGGTCACAGGTCCTGACCTCCTGATTACATGTGTATCTTTCTTACAGCCTTGGTTGTACAGGAGTCCTTCTCCCCTTTTTAAGTTAGTTTTCAGTGAGAATTGTTCCACATGTAGATGTAATTTTGATGTGTTCCTGGCAGGAAGGTGAGGTATGCTAACTCCTGGATTTCTAGTTTAACACTTATACCTACATTTTAGGGAAGGAAAATAAATGTTGACCATTCCCATCATGACATACTACCACAGGCCTACCACCTGGACTTAATAACAGGAAGGTTATGGGGAACTTCTGGTAAAGGGGTATATATACCAGCCCAGAGGGAAAGAAATCTCAAGGTGCATCAACCTGTCCACTTATAGGGCAGAAAAGCCCACAGAGACTCCACATATTCAGATCTCTTGTTTGGGAACCAGAGAAGCACCTGCTTTGTAGGGAGCCTCTTCTTTTCCTGTTCATTTAGAATGTAATATCTTGTGAGTTACTTGACAGACAGTAGGGAAGCCCCCCCCCCCCACCTCCATGTGTCTATGATTTGTTTGGGTATGAAAGTTTGAAAGTGAAAGTCACTCAGTTGTGTCCAGCTCTATGTGACCCCATGGCCCACNAAGTCACTCAGTTGTGTCCAGCTCTATGTGACCCCATGGCCCACGGCCCACCAGGTTCCTCTGTCCATGGGATTCTCCAGGCAAGAATACTGGAGTGGGTTGCCATTCTCTTCTCCAGGGGATCTTCCTAATCCAGAGACTGAACCCAGGTCTCCTGCATTGCAGGCAGACTCTTTGCCTTCTAAGCCACTAGGGAAGTCCTTGTTTGGGTATGATTGCTCCTTTCTATGTAGATGAGGGCTATGGACATCAAGTCTCCATACTCACTTCCCAACTACTCTAAGCCA